CAAAGCAACCGAAGATGGTACTCACCTCAGTATTCCTGCCTGGGCAGTGGGGAGAAAACAGCAGTGCCGTGACGAAATGGAAAGGGGAAGAACGTGCTGTGCACAGGTCTGAGGGTATGACTCCGGCACCAGCGCGCGGATACCTTTCTAGATGCCCAGTCGGTGTCAGGCACTCACTCATCAGATGCTCTCGACAATCTCAGGTCTTTGGGTGTCCTGGTGTGCCCATTTTCCAGGTGTAACAACTAAGGCTGGGCAAGGGGACATGACTCACAATCACAGACAGAGCTGGGAAGCAGTGAGTCAGTGGCTGCTCCTCCTCAAAGCGCCAGATCCCAGCTGTCACTGTGGTCACTCACTTCAGTCCTGGAAAGAACTTCTAGGTGGACCCATCATCCCATTTTATAGCTGAGAAAATTGAGGCGCAGAGAAGAAAAGAGATCAATCTAGTCAGGAAGCTGCCGCTGGAAGAACCAGGCTCACAGCGCATCGCGTGCCATGGGAGGGGCATCATTTCATTCAATTTTTATAATAACCCTGGGAAGACGGAGACTATTTAGGGGTGTTCTTGGAATCGAACTCAGAACCTTGTGCTGCCAGACAGGCACTGTGCTACTGAGCTATATCCTCAGCCCATTGCTGATTTTTTTTTTTTTTTTTTTAGAACAGCCTGTAGGGCTGGGGAGATAGCTCAGTAGAATAAGCACTTGCCTGGCAAGCACAAGGGCCTGAGTTCAATCCCTGGTTCTGAAAAAAAAAAAAAAAAAAAAAAAAAAAAAAAAAAAAAAAAAGAAGAAGAAGAGGAAATAGAGTTTCTGAAAAATAGAACAGCCTGTAAACTGCTCTTTTATTTATTTATTTTTGTATTTTAGGGAAGGGTCTATAAGGTGTACACGGTCTTACTGCATAGATCGGACTCATAGGGATCCGCCTGTTTACAGCCTCCCAAGTGCTGGGATTACAGGTGTGCACCACCACTCCCAGCCTCAATTGCTGTCTCAGTGTGCCCCAGGGGTGAGGCTGCACATCAGAGCCAGGGATCGAACACCCGGCCCCTGAGCCTTCTTGCAGGTGCTTTAATCCTCTGCACTATTTGGCCGGCCCCCGTTGCTGATTTTTAATTTGGGCAAACAGGCAGAATGGGAAATAACTTCCTGAGAGTCACGGAGCCAGGGAGTCAGCTTTAGAGCCCTGGGCCAGAGCTGCTCTGTCATACCGACTCCCCACAGAGTCAGGCTGGCTTTGCCCAGGGAGTGGGATCCCTGCAACTCCCCAGCATGACCATCACCAGGCAGGCCTTGGGAGAGGGCACAGGGCTGGGGCTGGAAAGCCCAGTCTGCCCAGAGACCAGCAGCCCCTGCCTCTGCGAAGAGAAGTTCATCCAACAAAATGCAGACCAGCAAAGAACACGTCTTGCTTGCTGTGTCTCTTGTAGGCAGCACACATCTTGGGGCATGTGTGGATGAAAGGCGCCATATAAAATGCAATCAATTATGAATCACCATTACTGAATTAATCACATGTATGATTAATACGGTAATAATAATTAATGGAAGTATGGTCTAGAGATTAGAGCTGAGAACTGGCAGGGAGGAGCCCGAGTGCTTCTTGCAGCCTCTGTGACTGCCAGGAGCTGTCACCTTGGCGAGCACCCTGGGCTGGGGTCTCGGTCTTCCTCCCCATGCCTTGGCTGTAGAAGAGGGGCCCAGGGGGATCTTGAAAGCCCTAGGCAGTCCTGGGCAGCTCGGACTCTTACCACCTTCCTAAGCTGCATCTCAGCTGCTCAAGGTCATGCGGACAAGGAGTTTCTTCGAGAATCCAAAGCTCAGCCTGGCATAAATGAGCAGAGCAAAGCAGGCCTGGGGGGAGAGGGTGGCAGTGGTGGCTTTTGAGTCTGCACTCCTTTTAAGCGTCAGCAAGAGCTCCTTTGATCTGCCTGTCCTTCTGTCTGTCAGCTTTAGGATTTGCTGTCTTCCTCAAAATCCCCCGAGGGCTGGATTACCTGTCATCGCAACTCTCATCTGTTACCTCTCCTTGAAGAGCTGGTAGATTATTTCTGCGTTTGACTTTGTAATTTTCTATTACTGAACTATCCTGAGCATGTTTCCCAATGTGAAGGAGTTGAACAGTGCAGAGGGAACATATACACTAAAGCCTGGAGAGCCCCGTCTCCCCGTTCACATTTGCTGTGTAGCTTTATAGTGTGTGCGTATGAAATATCCATTGGATGTGTGTAGATTTGATTGTGCACAATACTTTTTTAAAAAATGTAGATGGAATAAGATTAAATGCATTGTTCTGCAAATGATTTTGATAGTAGATTCCATGTACACAATTCAAATTAGAACTGATCTGTAGAGCCAAAATCCCACCATTGCAGGAGATGATTAGGCGACTGGTGAGAGCCAGCCAGCGATGATTTTGGGGGGAGATTCATTAACACTTTCCTGACTCCACTTCTCTGCGTCTTTTTAATGCCAGGAAAAGGTCATCGGTTGGCAGGAATCTTAATAGCATTCAAAACGAACATTCCCCAGCCACCTGGTCCCTCAGGGGCCCAAATCCTGCTTGTCTCCCAGCCTAGAGAGGAAGCCCTTCATTGTTTCCTTAAAAGGAACTCCATCTCCTGGAGGCTGAGTGGGGGGCAGTCCCAAGACTGGGGGCAGTTCCCCTCATTGTGCAGATGGACAAACAGGCTGGGCAAGGGAGAGATTCCCCCTAGGACACACAGCTACTTGAGGACTGAGCCAGAAAATCCCAGCAAGCTGGCTCACATCCCAGAGCTCCTTTTACTACCCCCTGACTTTTGGGGTCCACTGGTGGGGAAACCCGAAGTCCGGCTCCACCATGGGTCTCAGCAAAAGCCCATTGGCCTCAGCTCGATGCCGAGTCACAAAGCACCATGGGTGGGAGGTTGCAAGAGAGGTTTTCGAAAATTTTCTCTAGTGTGTACAGCTTTGCACCCAGGCCATGGGGCCCAGCCAGCCAGCGCAGGGCCGCGCCAGGCCTTGCTCTGTGTCTGTCTGGCTCTGAGTGGGAAGCACCTCCTACATGTCTTGTTGCCTAATGCTGACAGCACCCAGGCACAGAGATGATGGGGAGCATGCTGCTCCCAGGATTGATGACCCTGCCTGGGGGGACAGCAGGCTAAGGGCGGCCAGTCATCACTCACCTGCGCCAGGGACCCTGGCTCTGCCCCTCTGCAGGCTCTGAGAGCACAAGCGCTGTGCCCTTCTCTGCCAGCTTCCTTCCACTCTATGCTCCGAGACCAGGGCACTGGGGACCAGGGCTGGCCTGTGTCTACTCTCCTGGATGCCAGGGAGGGACCGGAGAGCAAGCGCTGATGCAGACCTCCCTTGCCTTCTTAGAAAATAAAGTGTTGGCCCAACTTGACAGGTGAGGAAACTGAGGCTCTGAAGCGATGGATGCCACGCCCTGGCTAACCAGCAAGTCAGGCAGCCGCAGAGCTCTACCACCCGGCCACCCATAGCCCAGTGGCCCAGGCCAGTCCCTGCCTGAACTGTATGACCTTGGAAGTGGGGACTCCACCAAGAGCAGGTACACTGTCGTAGATCTTTGGGGAAGAACCAGTGGATAAAGCACAGAAATGGGAGGCTGCCATAAAACAGGTGCTCAAGAAATATTATTATCATTAGCATAGCAGATGACAATCCTTAATTCTGCAGCCTCTTCTTGCTTTGTCGCAAGCCTCCAAATGTTATTCAGCAGCACAACCCTCTCTCCAGGCTCAGGGGCACAGCAGAGAAGGGTTAAGGTGGGGTGAGGAGGTAAGGGCTGGCAGTGTGGTGGGACACTTGCTCCCCTTTCTGACACCCTCTGTGACCTTGGACTAATCTCTCTCTCTCTCTCT